ACACACACACACACACACACACACACACACACACACACACACGCACACACACACACACACAGACCTCGCTCTCTGTCCTCATCTCTCCCAAACCAATGGCCCGAGCCACCCCATTCAATTTATTGGTGATGTTGGTTTCCAGCCTCCGATAATCGATACGGACACTGACGGCGGCTCCCAGACAGACGGACTTATGGGAAAACAATGAGCTGCAGAATAAAACTGGAGCCACCGAGCAGATGAGGACAAGAGGACAAACACAGACACACAGCAGCACGGCCAATGATTGTGGTCGGTCCAGACGCTTCCTCCCGCCGCTTAATCTCCTTTAACAACAGCTCATTTGAATGGACCAATGACTTCTCTTCCCTGGACCTTAGACTATTAAAGATCCAGACATGCTCCGTTGGTTTTATTTCCTCATTGTCTCTTTCTCATTCTTATTTCTCCTTATGCAACTCGACTCTTTGTCTTTGTCATCTTACAACTTTATACCACACGGATGTTTCCACTGGCTTTAGCAGCCAACAGGAAGTGAGAAACTTTACCTTTGGGTGTCAGCGTTTGATTTAGTTTACGGTCCTGGATTTGAATGATTACGCTTTAGAAAAAGAAAGACTGCACCACTCTCATCGAATTTCCTTGTCTTTCAATCTTCAGGCATCCCTGTGCGGATCAGAGTCATTAGAGACCGAGTGTGACCCAGAGTTGAATCATTAAGTCATGGCCGTGAATAGAAAGTGAAACACAGCAGAAACACTGGAGTCATCCTGATGAGGCTTTCCATTATGTTGGACGGGCCCCTGTAGTGTTGGAAATACTTCAACTTCTGTAAGATGGTTTGTGACCAGTCGAACTATGTCACTTCCAAAAAAATACCCAATCAAACTATCATGTTGTTCGCACATATTTGAGCCTGTACACCGACTGAGAGGAATCACCAGCAGCAATTCAGCTTCTATTGTATATCTCCAAATCATAATAAACATTATCTGGTGGCACTTCACAGGGTAAAGTCAAGGGAGGAAAAACTCCCTTTTAACAGGAAGAAACCTCCCAACAGAAGCGGGTTCAGGGCTCAGCAACAAGCATCTTTGCATGCGAAGGCAGCAGAGGGTAAAAGATGACCTGCCAAGCTGAGCGATAGAGGCTCCTGCAGAGGAGATTTCCACGGGAACACTAGGATATATAATCTCCCTCCTAAAATCAAACACCACCCCGAGATCAGGGCCGACAGACAAATATCTACTGTGGGTGTATAGTTACGAACTCTACGCAGGTGCTTGGAGAACGATAGATCATCTAACGGCAGCCAAGATACGTTTCATCTGCAGTGTGGCTGGATTTTTTTTTTTTTGTCCACCCGAGTCAGGAAGGAAATCACCGAACCTCGGTATCAAGTTGCAGCTACTGAGGCAGCCGTGACTCAGGAGGTAGAAGACCTGCCTCGCTGACCACATGCACCTCACTACACCTCCCATTTGGAAGGACAGGATGTCGCCGGTTACTGCATGTGATTCTCTACTCATTCAGCTGCCGTCATCTTTCCCCTCAAACCTTCGCCCTTCAACATGACTGTTTTTTTCTTATCATTTTGAATGTGTTTTCCTCGCGGCATTCATCTGTCCTCGCACGCATCTGCTCCTCTCTGACTATTCTGAATGGCATTCACTGTGGATAATTCTCACTTATTACAATCTTCTGATATAAGGTTTTTTAAACGGACCTTGTGGGATATTGTTCGTCAGCGACATGACACGAAGTTTTATTCCAAAATGTTTTCATCTTACAAGGAGACAGGTTCACTGAGTTTGACAGAAGGAAGTTTCTGAATTTGTAAAGATGTTTAAAAAAAAAATACTCAATATGCTTAACGGAGCAACAACAATTGTGAATTTATTAAATATTAAGATGTTACTCTTCGGATGGCAAATGTCTCACTGGAGAACCAGAGTTGCAAACGCAGCATTTTCGGTCCTTAAGCTTCACATCATTATGCAGCGACATGTTCCTAAAATTTGCCGTCACTATGCCCTTGCGGCTTGAATAGAATTGGATTTATGGGGAAGTGATGCACAACAACAAACTTGAGCTAAATTGTAATCAAATCTGTAAGGGCTACATCGGCAATTATAGTATTAAACTGATTGTATTCACAACTAATGTGTTTTTTAATCATCAAGTAATCCCATCGCACCTCGATCCTCCTGAATACTTACAGTAGGGACAGAACTGGAGGGATGTAACTTTGGTTTTAAGATACTTGGCACGACTAACTCTGTGTCCAACACACGCAGCAGACTCTAGATGCTTTTAATACTACGCACACACGTGTTTCAGTTCTTCCAGGCACAGGAGGGGGGGGGATTCAGCCAGCTGTCACCACAGACCCAGACTGTTCCTCTCCATATGCATGAAGCAGAGCAGAACGAGTTTTGCATGTGAAGGTGAAGGTTACACGATGACACGGCGGAAATTATGCAGTAAAAGTTGTGTTTCCTTCGTGTTGGGTGAGCAGCAGAACCCCGACGCAGCACAATCACACCATCCCCGTGGAACTGGAAATTACAGTAGCCTCGCTGACTCTCGTCTATTCTCACTAAACTAAACACAAAGAAAGCAACCATGATTATTATTATTATTATTATTGTTATTATTATTATTATAATGAATCTTTTCATTATGGTAAAGAATCAGAATGATTAATGCAACGTAATTATACACAGAGAGAGAGATATGAGAGAAGCACTGGACAAACAATTTGCTTGAAAGTCCCTAAAATCACAGTAAACTGTCGGTCAGATGTCTGAGCATGTTTGTCCTCTGCTAAAGAAAAATAATCTTACAAAACAATCTTTGTATTTTTCTCTTCTCCAGCTCTTATTTTTATTTCAAGCACGTTGTTGTCACTGTATTTCCTGAGTGTTACTGCTTTGACCTTTGACCTGCCCACCGGTGGCTCACTGCTCATATTTAAGCTTATTTTAGCCATTAGACGCCCATAGTGTCGTTTAAAATGTAAAATACGATTGACAACACAGCGTTTATGATAGGACGAATAATCCAATCTACCGTTCCCAGTGTGCTATTTATGTATTTATGAACCATGCATCCTGCATCAGCTGTCATAACTCATACTGTCATTGAGATCATAAGGATCTGCTGCAGTGCAATAATATGGGAGAACAGTACGTGTAGCGCAATGACAGAGACAAACTGTCCGTCAATTACTGACGGAAAAGTTGTCAATCAATCGCTCACTATTGCTTTAATTACCACTAATAAATACAAATAGATTCATTGGAATTTTTTTTGCACTGTTGTCATCTGAACACACGTCACACACTAATAACTGACCTTTAATTATACCGAAATTAGGTTGACTCACTTTTAGCAGTCATCAGAATAACCGTGGGGTTAAGAGACATTAACTGGAGTTCAGCCTGAAAAAAGACACCGTATTAAAATAATGAAGGGTTTGAGTCTCGCTGCACGTACCGATGAAAAAGCTGATTGAACACAGAGCGTAATGACATCACATCCTGTTGCAGCCAAATTAGAACCAGGTTTCACTGGTTTTTCAGGCCACTCTAAGTTTTCTTTCTTTTTCTTTTTGATGGAGCCTTTGATGAAATCACTGACATAAATGAGGGAGGCTGCATTTCTTTGCACTGTGCTGCTGTCTGTCTGAAAACTGCAGCTTACCCTTCAGTGTTTACTGGACGGTAATGTAGCTCAGGATCGAGCCGCCCCAGCTGCCCCTCACGTAAAACCTGAGGCTGAGCTCTAAAAAAAAACAACAACAAATCAGAACCAGCTATTTTCAGTTTTGTCTTCTGCTCCATCAGTCCACAGTTGGGGTTTTAAGGAACGTGTTTAATTGATTGAGGTTTTTGTTTAACCCACTGAAGCCCGGCATGGTAGCCTCAGGCACAATTCATGCTGCTGGAAAAGCAACCTGGGAGACTGTGAGTGTTTGCAGTTAGTTTGCCTCTCAGATCTGAAAAGAAAAAACTCAGAGCTACAGGCCGTAATGAAATAGTGAAATCTGACACTGTGTTGAATATTGCGGCGTGGTGTGTGTCTGCACGCCGCTGCAGTTATCAGTTTATCAGCGCTACAGACACGCACGCTCACCTGGCAGAGTGGGCAGGATGCAGGTGTTGGGACCGGGTTTCTCGGGGTCTTCAGGAGCGTATTTGGACTCGAGGATCTGGTGGAGGTTGAAAAACTCTCGGTACCTCCTGTAGATGAGATACTTACTCCCTCCTTTAGTCTTCACCTCAATCACAAACCTCTGGAAGAGAAACAGGGACGTGAATGACACTATCTGTGTAAACCATGGGCTCAGTTAAAAGTTTGTGGTCGACTTTAAACTTACAAAGTAGTCGATGAAGCCTTTCTTCTCCTCGATATCAGCGATGGCGGCGCTGATAGGGATGTTATGAGGCAGCTGATCAAAGTCACTGAGTAACACAAAGATATGCTGGTTATTTTTTTTTACACTTGTATCAGCATATTGCTACTGGCAATCAAATTTAAATTTCTTCAGTTAATCAGTCCTCACATTAGTGTTTAAAATATTCTAAAAATATATATATTTTAAAACACAATTCAAGTCAGAACGCCTGGAGCCCGGCCTGTCCAATCCGAGGGACATAGTTTGCATATTTAAGCTTCCTTCATCATGACATTGTTTTGTCTGCTGTCAAATGAAGGCTGTATTCCTGCATGAGTAGTGTCCATGACAACAAACACCAAAACAAACATAAAACATCCTGATTTTTTTTTTTTTTTTTTAAATAAAAAGCAAATTCCCTAAACTTGTTCAATGCAGTGCAGAAATAACAGCCATAAAGTGTCTGCAAACACTGAACATCTGCCTCTAGTTTCAGTTCCCTCTTTATATTTTAGGTGCACTGATCAAAGAAAAAGTGAAGTGAAGTGTGATGTAACCTAATAGTAACATTTCACTATATTATGATTTTCTAACTAGAAAACATCAGAGCATTGATTTAGCCTATTATTGCCAGTTCCAGGTGTTATAAACCTGTGTCACACAGGTGCAAAGTTATTGATAAGAGAGCTACACTTTACGCTGACTGACAGTCCATCAAACACACGCTCACCTTTCGTCTCGTAACTGCTGCGGCAGCGACATGATGTTACTCACGGCACCGACGGCGAACAAAGAAAAGACAAGAAAACCTGAACTCCGGAGGAAAAAAAAAAATGCGCTTCTCGCTGAGGCGTTAGCGCAGAGTGAGATGTCACGCTGGAGGCGGCAACTGAGCGACTGCGCCTGAAGCAGCTTGCATGCGCAACAATGCGGAAACAGGCAACAGGAAGCGAAAGTTCCCTAAAAAAAAAAGACCAGAGGATGGTGCGTTCAGTTGACCCTGTCTGTGCCGAGGTTACGACACGGGCGGGGGAAAGTACACGAGATGGCACATGGGGGGGGGGGGGATGTTAAACCAGCTGATGGATGGATGATCACCCGCAGATGGAGTGAGTCACACTCAGGCTGATGATGAGTAAGCACATACATCTCAAATGATGATGTTAAAGCGTCAGTTCATCCAAATCACAAATCGTACTATGACAGTCTTTTTGTTTGTGATGCTCAAACCACTAAAAGAAAAAAAAAATTACATTTGTAAATTACATTTAAAAGCAACTTTAATTCACAGAAAAACAATGTCCTGGTGATTCACGGACAACACTGAAGTTTTGTGCGTGATGCGGATGAACTGACCCTTTAACTTTTTGTCTGTTTTGCTGAACACAACCTGTTGCAACTATTGTTCATCGTCATGAACTATTATTATGAAGTCAAAGTCACATTTACCAGCAAAGGCCGTTCAATTTGGATTCATTTAAAAAAAAAAAGAGTTGACTGGTTTCTGTTGTTCACATTGCTGTTGTGGCACGTGGCTTTTTCTTTGTTTACATGACTTGACAGAAGCAGCATGCGCCTTGGTGAGAGTAAAACCCACACCCAACTTCTGGAAATGTGCCCATTTTGGAAAGCCACCCAGCTGGGTGTGTCCACAGAGGTGTTAAAGAGGAAACCAGCCCTCCTACCTCTCTGTGTTGCTGATGCATTCGGGTGTTTGTGTTGCACGGGTAAGAGCGGGCCCATATTTCCTGCAAGAGCACATCTCTGTTGTGAGTGTAAACATTTACTTTTAGTCAGAATGTATTTCAAATCAGAGGTTTTTGCATTATCTTCCAGCAGATTTAAAAAAACAAAAAACAAAACTGAAACCTCTGGGTCACTTGAACGCCTCATGGACCCCCACTTCAGCATTTCACAAGAAGTGTCCTTTCACTGACAGAGCTTCTGTTTTATTCACGAGTTCACAGTTTAGCAGTCACACTTCCACAGCAGTCTCCGGCACACCAGCGCTGCCACATGCACCGTCGTCGTCGTGAACATCAATAAATCACTCCCACGTTCAATTTGACTGATTAGTGTAAAAGCTGTGAACAGGCAAGATGGTTGTCGACTAGTGGCAGCTTCCTCCAGCCTCCCACACTGTGTCACACAGTGGAGGATTCTTAATTTACATCGCACAAATACAAAGCACAACTTTACTCCAGCTCAGGTATTCAAAACGCGTATCGTCGTCGCTTATCGTGAATGCTGTCCATTGATTCGAATGTTCAGTTTACTGTAAGGTGTGATCATTCATAATGAAACCGAAACACCAGCAGCAGAATAAATAAACACACTGTAGAGCTCCAGTAAAGGGATAAAGGATACGTCTGACAAAGCTAAATACCACCGTGATGTGCAGGTTTCTCAGCTCAAGAAACTGAAATCAAACATTTTATAACAAAGAAAAAAAATAGACAAACAAATTTAAAGAGACAGAGTGAGCCCTCCTTTACAGACTTTAAAGAGACACATGCAGTGTATAATATGACACCATCAAAAATGCTCATGCAGACCAGTTTGTTCACATTCTGTCATGGTCTCCGGCGAGTTGCACAAGTTATGTGCAAGTTTAAACTCAAGCATTACCTTGAAAGTGAAGAGGAGGAGTCACACTGTGATTGAACGGGCTGTTAGCTTTAGCGGCGCAGAGTTGAGATACAACTTAATGTTTACACCTCCTGTGAGGCGGCGTTAAATCATTCGCTCGTAGCTGTTACAGCAGCAGAAGGGTCACAAAGAAAGGAGACTGATAAGAGAAGAGCCAGAAGACATTAGTTTTCTGTCTTTGCACTGGAGGCACATTGTCCCTGACAGGCCGCATCCTTTTTACATTAATGGTGACACTGATGTGTAGATGATGTGTGCTGCTGTACAGTTATGGCTTCTTGGCTTTATGCTGTGTTCACTTGCGATGGGAATTGCCGCTGACACCAGAAACTTGTGAACTATTAAGGTGTTGACTTTGGCAGAATCTTTTCACCAAAATCAAAAGTTTTCCACTGACTTTCATTGATATTTTAAATTTTAAATAAACAGATCTTTAAATTTGAAGCCCGGGTTCGAGTCTGGCCTGTGGGCCTTTTGCTGCATGTCAACCCCCCCCCCCAAACTTTCTCTCACCCTGTCTCTCTCTCACTGCTACTATAATAAAAGCATAAAGAGCCTTAAAAAAATTACCTTTAAAAAATGTCACTGGGAGCACGTTTCCTGTGACAGACTACATCCTTTACATTCATGATGACATTGACCTGTACGCTTGATATGGTGTCGTACAATTAAAGTGACCTGGATTAGACTTGGGCACAGGTGCAAAGTAAAACAGAAGCCACTGATAAATGATTGATGAATTATTAATTTGGTTTTTAGTTAGTAGTGGTTTTCACCCCCGACTCCCCAGTGACGCGCTGGATTAAAATGTTGATGTCTGCGATAAGGTTGTGACTTAGTAAAGCTGCAGTGTAAGGAGAGATGGTGCAACTGAACAAAGTGGCATGTTTACTGTTTTCATCAAATTAACAAGTTTTAATGTAGCAGTTAATCATGACTTTCCACTCAAACAGAGCGTACAGTTACCCATCCTCCATCCTCACTCTCAGGACCTTCTCTTCTGTCGGTGCTCTGCAGGACTTTGAATCTTAAATTGTTTTCTGGTGCTATTTGTACATTTTTTTCTGGTGATTGTTGCTCGAGAAGAGCTTCAGCCATCGTTGCGTTTACAAGACAAGAGGTTATAATTCGACCTCTGAGCAGCGCTACGTCCTCAGGGCTGATTGGAGGCTGCAGTGAGTCGCTATCGGAAAGTGACGAGACGGGCAGGGGCTAGCTGGTTAGCGTGCTAACTTCTGTAGAGGAAAAGACGTGAAAGAGACAAGAGTTAACATTGGTTGTTGCTTTCCACCAGCAGCTGTTGGTGAGTAAAGGAATGAAGTTTGATGCTGAACTAGCACATTTCTTCTAGACTGGTAAGTAAACAGCTGTTAATGTTAACACTGGCTATGTAGCAAAAGCAAAACTTACAAATAGCTCCTTTAAGCCGCCTTCAGGAGATAATCTTTCTCCTCCACCTACTTAGTCAACTCACTCACAGTCTCCTTGTCCTCTCTCACTGCTTATCTCACTCGAAGAAGAAAGAACACATTCTCCAAATCAATAGCATTACACAGACACAGAAACACGCCATGACGCCAGGTGTTGACCTCTCACCCTTCCTTTGTGGTTGATATTCATAAGCAAATACAGACGGCAGCAGATGACTGTTGAAATGAATGCAGAAAGAAATAACTGAAATACGGTGCAGGGACGCAGGTCCAACATAAAACATGAGGTGATTAAATCTTATAACACTAGATGTCAGCAAAGTTGTTGCAGTGTTGGAGGTGTGTGTGTGTGAGGGAGAGAGAGAGAGAGAGAGAGAGAGAGAAAGAGAGAGAGAATTATTGTCTAAACTGAAAGGTTTCTTAAATCTTAAACTCAAGATGTAGATGTATTTGATTGTGATTATAACTTCTAATCAATCACGATCCTCTAATCTGTCTTTGTGATGACACTTTAAGCTTCCACAGTACTGCATGGCTGCCTTTTGTTTGCTGTCTAACTAGCACCTGAATCACTGCACCGGTGACTATACACACTGACGGACAAAGCCGAGAGTAAAAGAGATTACGGCAGATATGCTTCAGTAAGTCAAACAAGGTTTGTTGAGGGTTTGTTTTCACTGGGGTTAATGTTCGCCGTGATTCAGGCCGGACTGTTTTCACCGAGATAAATGCGTTTACATTAATGTTTCGGAGCCGTGACTTGATTGGGGTGAGATCAAATCATTAGTAGGGATTCATGAAGATGGAAATAACAAGAACAGGGACGTGGAAAGAAAAAACTGTGAAGGTGCGGAAAATGTATTTGTTTGTTATATAAACTGAGAAACAGTGTGTCAGCGGCTGTTTGTGTAAGAAGAAGACAAACAAAGAGTCCGATAGAGCGTGACGGCGCATAGAGGAGCGTGTGTGAGTGCAGCACATATTGACTCCATATCTATTTTCATGCAGCCTGAGATGAATCCTTTTGAAACGCTGCTCGTATAACAGACCATCGCCAGCCATGAATTGCAGAAACATTTTTTCAAGGGTGTATTTATCTTCAAGGTCAGGCCAGCTGCCGGAGTCCGTTGTGTGCATGTGTGTGTGTGTGTGTGTGTGTGTGTGTGTGTGTGTGTGTGTGTGTAAGAGACAGAATTTGTGGATTGTGAATGTGTGTACGTACAGAAGATGAAGATAATGTGTGTGTGTGTGTGTGTGTGTGTGTGTGTGTGTGTGTGTGTGTGTGTGTGTGTGTGCGCTCTGTAAAAAGTCAACTGATGAAATATAATAAGCCGTTCAAGTTGACAGCCATTTAGTTGACAGACAAAGAGGTACCAGCGTGCACGCATACATCCACGCGCACAGAAACATAAGCGGTGTGACTGACAGAAAGTCTCAACACGCGCACGGCTTGTGTTTACCGTGTTGACCGCTGGTTACCGTAGAGACAACACAGAAACATGGAAAGAGGAAGAGGTGAACCTGAGCAGAGGGCTAATCTAAATACTGAGTCTTTATGGTGAAATATAAAGTCAAATGTCCCTCGGTTAAAACTTTTGGTAAAAAAAAGCAAAACGTGATAAATGAAAACACCCACCATACTAAACTGAAAAACAGCTTCTTCTTCTTTTTTACATTTGAGTTTCTAAAGGATAGAAACTGATGAAACAGTGCGTTTGGCAGAATTATGATACATTGTGAGATTGTTACAGATTACACTTAAATATTGAATTGAGCACATCTGAGTTAAAAGCGGACTAAGTTTGGTCCAAAAGTTTTT